AACCTCCGCTCGAGCGGATGAGCCAAAATCTGGGCAACCATCGTCAACGTGGGAGATGTCAGTGAGAACTGCATCATGTGTACTCATGGGTGCGGTCGAAGTAGTCCCCAGAAAAGCAGGTGATAACTGGGTGGGTGGGGTAACAACATCATGCATGAACTGGGGCGGTGTCCAATCAAGGTCAGCATATTGGGTAGGATGTACGTGTAGGGAATCTGGAGAAATGTATGGGGTAACATGCGATGGGGTGTGTAGACACCCCATTTTTGACCGTCCTCAAGACTTGGACGTCACCGTTTGAACACTCGGTGATCATCTATGTCCGTGTTCGTTTTGAGTTCTCGGAGGTCTTGGCTACGTGCCTTGCCTCAAGATCTCTTAACTTGGCTGTTTTGTGCTTGGTCATGGACCTAACACTTGTGTTTTTGCTTCTGAGGGCAGGGAATGGCTTGTAGGTCATCCCCACACCTCACCGGCCTTGCTTGAGGCCACCGACCTAGTTTTCTTGCTATCGGCTAAATATTTTGGTCGGTCGGCATTTCTTTTGGTCGGTCGACCATTTTTGTTAGTCTATCAACCATATTTTGCAGCCGACCCCTGTTCATCTGCTTTTGCAGATATTTTTATGCCAGCTGTCACAGCTGGCATCCACTTTACACCCCCTCCATACATGTGTATGGAGGGATTGGCCTCTTGTTTAGCTTCTCTTGGAAGCCTTAGAAATTGAATTTCTATAAGAGGGAAGGCCCTCCTCCCTTCTCAGAGGTTTTGGAATTTAGGGTTAGAGTTCATATCTCTCTCTCTCTCTCTCTCTCTCTCTCTCCCTATCTCTTCCTCTATATATTTGTGTGTGTATTTGTGATCAAAAAGGTGTTTTGTTCACTTTTTTGCACTAAGACACATAGTATTACACCATACTTTGGTTACTGAGGTGCCAAAGGGTTGTTCTTGAAGTTTTTGAGCTGGTTTTGACCCAAGGAAGGTGCTGGAGTGGTCTTCTTGAAGGAGGTCTACAAGGGTGAGAACTATTCCTTTTATTCCCCATTTTTGCATAGGCTTTTAACCTATCTTGCATTCGTTTTTAAGCTTATCTATAAACTAAGAAAAGTTCTGTTTTTACCTACTTTTGATCTTTGTTTAAGGCCTCTTTGAGGTTTGGGGTTGTTTTCCCCCTCTAAGGCCTTGTTAGGCCTTGTTTTAGGCCATCCATTTTGGCCCTTGCTTTGGTCTTTGCATGACCTCTCTACCACTGAAATCCAGAGGATTTTCAGTGGTGGAGAGGTGGTTTTGAGGTCCTAAATGGGAGAGGGTTGTCCCCTCTCCTTGTTGTCTTTGATGCTTGCATAAGTGGTTTGTGTTGTAGCATGTGTGCCTAGCTTGCTTTAGCTCCATTTCAATGGATATTAGGCTTTGTTTTGCCATGATATAGCACTATTTCAAGTTGGTTTAGACACACCATGCATGCTTTGCATACTTGTCTTGTAATGTCATGAAATTGCATTAACATGCATCATGATGTACCATGACTTTTAGGCATGATTTTGGCTTAGCTTTGTGAAGCTTTTATGCATGTTTTGGTATGCTTAAAGTCTAATTTTGGTTGTTTGGGTCATCGATGACTTTCTTTGTATAGCTACCATGCAACCTAACTTGTAGGCTTTTAGTATTGGAACCTCTAGCATGCTTTACTTGCATTATTTCAGTGACTTGGAGTCACTTACCATGTCATTTCAGTCCATATGGCATGCTTGTTTACTCACAATTGATGCTTCTTTAACGTCTTAAAGAGTTTGTGTTTCATGCTCCATGTTTGTGCCATTGTGTATGCCATCATGTGTAGGCATTTGGGATGCCATCTAAGTGTGTCTTTGGCCTTGTTTTGGTCTGCCTTGGGATTGTTTTGAGTCCCTTTGGCCCTTCAAGGCTCGGTTGACATGGTCATGGCTTGAGCCCCTTGGCTAGCCTTGAGCCTTGGACCTTGTTGCATGCTTTGCTTGATTTGTTTAGTTAGTTTGGCACCTTTTCTAACATGATTTCAGAGCTTACAATGTATGCCATTTGTTCATGTTTGTTCCTTTTAAGTGCGCTTAAAAGTTGCCTCTTTATGCTTAAGTATTGGACCATGTATGCATGCATGTTTGTATGTACATTTGCCTCCATTTCCTTGGCATATTGGCCATTGTTTTGGATCTGTTAGAGAGCTGTCCATCTTGGTGTAAGTCCATCCTTCGCATGTTGTTGCATGCTCGCCTTGCGTGTTGTTGCATACTTGGCCTATCTCATGTTGTCGCATGCTTGAATCGCATTGCATTTGGCATGCATTTTCTTTGTTAAGTTGCCTTACATGCTTTCATGCTAAGTCCCCTTTACATGTTGCATGTTTGTCATTAGCATGGTTGTTACATGCCTCGCATGCTTGTTTGCTTAGGTTGTGTGCCTAGTACACATTGCTTGTTTGCATGTGCATGTTGCATACTTAGCTTGCATGCTTAGGATGCATAACATTGTGCATATCATGCATGCCTTGCCTCTTGATCAAGCATGATAGAGGTTGGGTCCTTTATGTGTTTTGTGTGCATTCCATTTGACATTGAAATTGTACACTTTGGCCTCTTGAACCATCATGCATTGAAATGCGTGGTTGGTGGTCCGAGGGTCGAGGACCAAATTCCCTTGAGTTCATAACATGATGGGGAGGTTGGTTGTGCAAACATTTGCTTTAAAATGCATTTCCATGCCTTGTCTGTCTTTTGCTGCTGTCAAAACAGGGTTCTGTAGAAAGATATGGTCGACCGACCATTTTCAGTGCCGATCGACCAATAATGGATGGTCGAGAGCCTTACAACTGGTCGATGACCACTTTCCCATGGCCGGTGACCATTCCTCTTGGCCGGTGATATTCCAAAGTGATCAGGGAGTGATGCTGAAGCATCCTTGGGACTTGTGCAATTTTCAGAGGCATAAAACAGTGAAAACAGAGGCAGCTTGTACATGGTGATGGATTTCCGAGCGGAGCCGAGCATGCATGCATTGGACCCTCTTCCCGAGGCTGTTTTACCACTTTATTAGCTTAGTTAATTTGCTTAACTAGTTAAGTGGTCTGTAACTACTTAATTAGCTTGTTAGTTAGTTAATTTGTATTATTCTTTCGGTCCCTCCGAGAGAGGGCAAATTGTGTAATAAGCGTGCGTGTGTGTGATGCATGTCTTCCAACCCCACGTCTTTCTCCCTTTTATTTAACTACTTACAATGGTTAGTTTTAGGGCACGTTTCAATTAGTATACTTATGATAGCATGTTTGCACATATTCATTCGTATTGCATGCACTGGGCTCGGCGCATCATGCTAACTGCATTGTATTTCAATTTCGAGTTGAATACATGTTAAGTGTTGCATTTCACATGCCATTGTAGAATAGCCGAGCCTATTTTAGTTGCATTTTGCATATGTTGCATTAGCCATCTTAACATGAACTAGGATCATGCATGATTACTAACTAGTTTCTTGTTTTGGCTCGGAGTACACTGTGAGTATTTATGCTTTAACATCTTGCATGTATGTGAGTTTTGCCATGATAGCATGCTTACCATGAGGCTATGTGCTTATGTGATATAACTGCCTAAATGCCCGTGGGTGAAGATTGGATTACTTGAATTGGAGTAATTCATTGAAATCCATGTTTTAGCCTACTTGCGAGTAGCAAATTTCAAACCATTTCCAAACAAAACGGATATGCGATGCTTTGTTCCAAATTAGGAGATCTAGTCTATACTTGTGTGTTGTGCGCATCACATAGTAATTCTAGCTAATTAATCGAAATAAGAACACATGTTTTCAAAACAAAATATCATGCTTAGTAGAGGCCGATCTTCGGATTGGGCGAGCGGGGGTGCTCATAGCTGACATTCCCTAATCGTACCCAAGTTCTCGAGCCGAGGCAACTTTGGTGATGACGGGCACGTGGCCTTAGGCAACGAGTCAGGGTTTCCTAAATTCCCCCAAAATAAAACATTTAGGTGGCGACTCTGTATCTAGCAAAGCAGTCCATGTTTGGCACTTCTTTCTAAAAATCTATTTTTCAAAAACGATTTGCCGGATTTGGACTCTTTAGTGATTTATCAATCTCACATCGCACATTATGAGATCAGATTAAGAACCGTGACAATTTGGGTCCGAACTGTAGTGAACCCCAAATGAACAGAATGGGATTCCCTCCCGTGACGTTCGGGGACGTCTACAGGGTGACTAAAGTCCAACGACCTGCTGTGATTGGTGCTGAAGTGGAAGGCGCTGACGTGGACGTGACTGATGTGTCTAGAGCAGCTGCTATACTGTGTACACCGTAGTGGCCAAAATGCAGACGATCTAGCCGATGGGCATGCTGGATCCCCTCATACAATAACTCTCGGATCTCTGCAAGGGCCTGCATCACACGCTGTCCACCACGTCCGAAAAGGGCGTCCTCAGCCAAGTGATATGACCTCCCAGCTCGAGCCACCTGAACAAAAAATTAGACGTATTAGGCTATAGTTGACTGAAAGTAAATCAATTATGATCTTAACAATTATCTGACATATACTATGATACTCACCAATGTCTCGAGAGAAGGCCCAAGTCCCTGATATCTGAACTGAGACAGGTGGCTCGGATTACCGACTAGTAGGTGTGTATGTCGCCGATACCACAACATGTAAGGGTCCGAAGAGGGGAGGACCTCATCGCTCCAGTCAGCCTGTACAATACTATTGCGACGGGCATCCCACAACTGTATATGTCGCATATGAAACAGACTCCAGTCAGTGCCGGCTCGGCCACGCCTATCAGTCGCATGTAACTGCCACTCAGTGTCGCACCGATCCGGCACGGACTGGACCTGACCAAACTGTCGGAGGACACGATCAGGGAGATGCCACTCAACCACGTCAAAACAAATGAGTGGCACTCTCGCCATCCATATCTCCTCACCTAGTCGGCAATAGTCTGGGAGCGTATCGAGGACCTCAGCATAAGGCTGCCAGATAAACTACAATAACGACAAGTCTATTAAAAATCGCTCATGAACATATACACTCCATATGACAATTAAAATTTAGGTATTTAAATTTCATACCTCGCCCTCTATCATCCGGTCAAGCTGGTCTCTATACACGACCACTACGTGGGTCGATACGACCTCGTGGCCCATGTCAACCCTCCACCGGCTACCTCGAGGTCCGGCCGGCATC